CAAAATCGGCCCTGCCTGGGGGCAGTGATTTTCATTAAGTACACATAATAAAAACAGAAAATAAAACAAATGTTTTCTGAATGGGAGAAAGCTACAGCTTAGATATTTGACTTGAAATGTTGTTTGGTGGACCTGTATCAAGATTGTTTTGAATTAAACCCTTGGGTCAAAATTTTTCCTTGCCCAAGGGGACAGTGACCTACTTTCTTGTCCTTTGATGTACAGCAATGAAATTTTGACCATGTGCACAGTTTTAGTTGTAAAATTGAACTTTTATATCAAGTGACCTAGATTTTGATTATGTGACCTACTTTCTTGTCCTTTGTTGTACAGCTATGAAATTTGAACCATGTGCACAGATTAAGATGTAAAGTGAACTTTGATATCAGCTGACTTAGATTTTGACAAAGTGTCTTACTGTGTTGTCCTTTGATGTAGTCGTGAAATTTAGGCTGTCGTCTACTTATCTTTCTGCAAGGGAATGCTAGCAGTTTATAGTAATACGTTGGTTTTGCATTGGTACCGGCTCATCCAGACAATAATATACGAGGTTAATAAAAGACCCGTTCTTCAACAGTATTTGTTCCTACACTTCTATTTAGTGTTGTATTAATGCGGTGGCATAGCATTTTCTCAAATGCAATCTTGTTTTTTAATATTTCAAGATTGTTGAAAAGAAATTGGTTTGATTGACACAAATTTCAATATGTTTGTGAAATTCTGTAGTATTTATCCTCGACTGAAAAGGCTAGAGTCAATATGATTATAGCATTCCTCCATTTGTCCTTCCTTCTACATGTATATGTCCTTTTGTCCCACAACCCTTTCTTGTTCCATTCACTTGTTTGTAATACTGAGAGCTATTCTACTAACATACTGAGAGCTATTCTACTAACATACTGAGAGCTATTCTACTAACATACTGAGAGCTATTCTACTAACATACTAAGAGCTATTCTACTAACATTGGTGTCTGCTTTTGTACCACCCCACACATTTTTTGGAGTTTATATGTCAAATGCTGTTTGCCTTTGAACTTGTCATTACTTGATAGATTGTAAAATTATTTGTGATATATCTTCATCTCAGTCAGACAGTGTGTTATGTGCAAGTCGTTGGTCAAGTCTATACTTAGATGTTAAAATGTAATATTGCATGGCCGTCAGTGTCGTATGTACATATCGTTAGTTAAGTGAAAAGTATATGTGGATTTTTTCTTTTAAATTAAAAAAAAAATATGTAAGAAATAAATATTTGCCATGACAACCAACAAGAAAAAACTTTAGAACTATTTTCTTTTAAAAACTGTAGGTTGAAATTTTGTTATTATTTGTTTTTAGAAATGGTCGCCCAATAATTTTGAATGATTACTGAGAGCATGGTCTTTATTTAAAAAAAAAATAATTTTATAGAATGACATGGTGGCTAAAGAGGATGGGATCTATATCTTTGGTATACAGGAATTAGTGAAAATCCTTTTGTCAAATTTTGATATAATTAAATATTTATGCTTTATAGGTGATCGACTATGGAGATATTTAAATGGATTGTGTTTCCCTAGATATTTATAAATAAAAACTTTGCAATTCTTCCTATGAATTTGTGAACAATATATGGCTCTCAAGTTGACTGTCTGGAAACATTGAAGATTAATTAATTGTCATTTAGGCATCAATGTTATGTTTCATATGTCAAATATCAAGCCGTTATATTTAGAAATTATGTTTAGTGCTGATTGGTAGAAGATTTATAATTCCCAGGCGAAAGTTTTCCTCATTTTGTTAAACAGACAGACATCCAAAGGAGGGGCTGTTTCCTGTCATCTTCTTCTTTAAAGTCATGGCACTATTCCCAAACATTCAAATTTATTTAAGTGAATCAACTGGTATTTAAAGTGACATTTAATGCCCAATGTTAATGGTGAGTGCACAGCTTAGTTACACATAATTGTGATCATTAATAGCTTGACCTTTTTTTTTTTTGAAAAAAAAAAGTAGAGGTATTGCTACCGAATAAGTCGCGGCAGCATTGCCATTGCCTTTCCCTTCCGCAAACTTGTACCTGGATCATAACTTTTTTTATTTCTTGGTGTATTGTCTTTATACTTGTCCACAACAACTCTTGGGACGAGTCGTTTCAGTAGACCACACTAACCTTGACCTTCATCCATAAATGACCTTGACCTTCAAGGTTAAAAGTCCAAAATTTTGCTTTTCTTGCTGTTATTGGCTGTAACTTTGTTATTTTTGAATGGATTGTCTTCAAACTTGAACATATTAATCTTCAAGGATATCCCTTAAAAATAACCAGACAGACCTTGACCTTCACTCATAAGTGACCTTGACTTTGAAGGTCAAATTATTAAAATTTTCATTTTTTGGCTATTATTGGCTGTTACTTTGTTATTTTTGAATGGATTGTCTTCAAACTTGAACATAATAATCTTCAAGGATAACCCTTAAAAATAACCAGACAGACCTTGACCACCACGTGTCACCATGTGTATCTATTTATAGAATTTTCTATTTATAAAATTGCGTGTTTCTATTTATAGAATTGCATGTTTCTATTTATAGAATTTTCTATTTATAGAATTGCGTGTTTCTATTTATATATATATATATATATATATATATAAATTAGTATATTTATGTATACAAAATATATAGACAAAACTAATGTGACAAGACAGACCGATTAAATTTATAGAAAGGAAACGTTAAGATTTTGTTCAAACATTTCTTTGTTAGTAAAAAGTCTAGTGTTGCCCCCGCCCGGCGGTGGCTCTTGTTATATTTAACTATGCAAAAGTTATCAATAATCCATATAACCCACAGAATAAGACCCCTTCACACTACCTGTGAAAACATGATGCGCCGTAAGCCCTTTTTATCAAATTAAAGGCTTTTATATTGCTGACATTTATTTGAAAATTAAACATTGATAACAAGTTTTTACCCTTCGTAGAAACCAAAATATGCCAACAGTATTTTTATAACAAGGGTATTTTAAGAGTATTCTTACAAATTTTATATTTAGATAGACATAAAAGAAATTTACCATTTTTAATCCTAGACATTGTTACACAGGTTTGAAATCATGAACAATGTTTCACTCTAACTACGTAATGTAAATATTTTGTTCCCTATTGGATCTGTGGAATTTGAAAACAACTTTAAGTTATTTAATCGCCTCCTTGGTCGAGGGGTTAGAGTCGATGACTTCTAATACAGTTACCTATCTGGCTTGGGTTCATTCCCCGGGAGATGCTTTGGTAGTTTAGCGTGGAGGAAGGTAGTCTAGTACTGGTGTAACTCTCCAGGAAAGATGGTTAGGAAACTACCCGCCTATATGACTGAAATACTGTTGGGAAAAGGCGTAAAATGAAACAAACAAACAAACAAAAATTAACTTAATTACTTCCTATTTTTTATCATCCTACATGTATACAAACAACTTAAATCTGTAAGATCATAGTAATTTATGAAGGAAGTACAAAGTACAAGTAGTACATACAGAGCTTTTGCATTTATTAAGAAACCACTTGCAGCCACTCATCACTTTAGGTTCAAGCCACACTAGCTTATGAAATGTTGGTTGTTCCACTTAGGAGCCTGTTCATGCCTGAAATAATTCACTTGAGGGCATTTAAAGCAACTCCACTGAGGTTTTAAAGCCTAAGAACATAAAATTTGAATTTTTGTACGTAAATGAGCTAGGGCACTTAAGCACTTAAAACTGAAATATATGCAAAGATAGTCAAGAAACATACTTCGAAATAATTGAATTTTATGCTTTTCTTAGCTCGATTTGTGTGAAAAGCTTTTAAACGCTTTTAATTTTGGTCATATTTTTACAATTTGAATAATTATTCTGGAAAAACCAAGTGTGCGAATGATCTGCAATTTTGCACAAAGATTAGTGGTCTTAACCTACAACAAATGGTACATTTATCTGGAAAAATATTTTATGTTCCATCATTTCAAAAAACCTCAGTGGAGTCCCTTTAAGGTATTCCTCCATCAGTAAAGTTTAAAAGTCAACATATGACCTATACTGTGTTGGTGTGACGTAAAATTCCACCCGAACCCCACCAAAAATAATAATGAATAGTTCAATGTACATGTATTTAAGAAGAAGTTGATCATTTATTACAAGAGATAAATATATTTTCTTTGATGATAAAGGGGAATCAAATTTCCTTTACTATGCCTTCCCAGTTGTATGACATGTAGCTAGAATATTTATATCAAAATGATATTTTTTCTGTAGCAATACCAGATAGTGGGGGGGGGGGTATAAAGAAGTCAGCTTGTCGGTCCATTTCATGGTTTCCGGGCGATAAATAGAGTTTGGAATGAGGTATTGTAATCAAACTTAGTATATAGCAACCTTATGTGGAAACCACAGTTGGTTTTGCATTTCGGACCCCTGGGTTAAGGTCAAGGTCACCATTACTAAAAATAGATAAATGGTTTCCAGACAATAACTTGGGTTAAGAATGAGATATTATAATAAAACTTGGTGTATAGCATTCAGCTTATATGAAGACCCGGATTGGTATTGCATTTGGACCCCCAGGGGTCAAGGTCACCATTACTTAAAATAGAAAAATGGTTTCCAGACAATAACTAGAGTCAGGAATGAGATATTGTAATCAAACCTGGTGTATAGAAAGTTTATATGAAGACCCAGGTTGGGATTACAATTGATTGAAATAATTCTTTGTACACAGTTGATAACTTCATTTTCTATAGGTTGAGTTCAAGTTTTTCTTCAGACGACTTATTTTACAAAAAGTCAAAGTTGCTAGTGGAGGTAATTATTCACCTTCAGTGCTAGCTCTAGTTGCAGAGGGTCTGGGTTGTACTAGTTATTGACCTGGCTGTGATTGCAGTGCTTAAAACTCTGGGTGTATCAAGTATTTTATTAAGTTTAGGTCAAAATATTACCTGTACCTGTCGGAAAAATAAAATGCCTCCTTTGAATTTATATTACAGGAAACTGAACAGTGTGCTAACAAATCGTCTCATCAAGTTTTTCCAAGACCAGGCAAAGAAAGATCCGGTCAAATATGCTGAATTTTATGAGGACTATGGTTTATTTTTCCGAGAGGGGATCGTGACCTCCCCAGAGCAAGATACTAGGGTAAGTGCCTTTTTCAATGCAGTCAGAGAAACTTTTAAATTGTTGCGACCTTGTGCAAGTTTGTGGTGGGATTTATCTACAGTCCTTTAATGGCGATATGTTATTGAAAATGTTACCGATACTTCAAACTTTAAGAATGTGAATGGCAGTGAAACATTCGACCTAATTGTGCAGGTGATTAGTTTTTGTTTTACCTGCTACAGAGTATTTTGACATGACATCATTTCTGTAAGCATGCGTTAAATGTTACCTTTTCGCTATAATCATGTCAATTAAGTGTGTTTCCTTTTTAGCTCGACTATTCGATAAGAATAAGTAGAGCTATTGTAGTCACCCTAGCGTCGGCGTCTGCGTTGGTGTCCGCGTCGGCGTAACCACTTATGTTAAAGTTTTTGTAATAGTTCAAATATTTTCAAAGTCTATTGACATATGGCTTTGAAACTTGGCACACTTGTTCACCATCATGACCCCAACCTGTAAACAGGAGGAGGTAACTGTATCAAGCATTTTGACAGATTTATGCCCCTTTTTTGACTTAGAATTTAAGTTAAAGTTTTTGTAATAGTTCGAATATTTTTAAAGTCCATTGACATATGGCTTTGAAACTTTGCACACTTGTTCACCATCATTATCCCAACCTATAAACAGGAGGAGGTAACTGTATCAAGCATTTTGACAGAATTATGCCCCTTTTTAGACTTAGAATTTAAGTTAAAGTTTTTGTAATAGTTCAAATATTTTCAAAGTCCATTGACATATGGCTTTGAAACTTTGCACACTAAATGTTCACCATCATTACCCCAACCTGTAAATAGATAGAGGATATTTGTTTGTTTGTGTGTAAGATGAATTCTGTAGCCACGAGTGAGAATACTGTTTTTAAAGTTCACGAGATGAAATAAAATTACATCTTACACAACAAACAGACAAATTTTCTTTTTATTTTATGCTTAAAAACAAGTTAAAACGAAATTTCAATAATTTTAACGTTATTATTAAAATCTGTTTCCCCCATTGAGAGCCCCATTTAGACGGAATTTCTCATTTAAAACAAGAAGTCTTGAGCTGAAAAATAAGTCCGCCAATCAAGGTTTTATTAAAAAATATGAATGATCGCTTGTTTTAATCATAAAAACAAACAATTCTTGCAGGAGAAAATTCCAACCATCCATCCATATTTCTGTTACTTACTGCGAATTTATATTAGACCTGGCTTTCTAAAATGTAAACGGCAGCCATTTTTTAAAGTTGTGTATTTCATGGGAGGAAAATAATTGTGTAAGATTCAGAAGGATATAATTTGGATTTGTTAGTCATACACCTTTTTAAAAGAAAGAAAACTTATTTGAGGATTGTAACAGACAAAAAATAAGTGTTGACAGAAGTGAAAACATTCAGAAAAGGGGCTAGGAAAATGGAAAAATTGGAAGCTTGCTGAAGGAACGCTGGGTTGTTTTAACTTATTTTACGAGTGATGGCTGTCAATGCTTTTCAATTTTTCATAAAGCATACGGCAGTTATTGCTCGTAGGATACTTTAATATGCCCAAATGTCATCAAGAGCCCGTTTTGCATGGGGAAGAAATGTATTTTTCAGACTGTAAAAACGAAACAAAAAAAATTTAGAGACAAAATTTGGTGATTGGAATTTGAAGGAATAGAAGCAGGGTTTCTATTGACGCACATTTCCTGCGTCCTTGACGCAAAAATAGTAACCTAGGACCCTCAATTACTCTAAGTGTGCGTCCATGGGGACGCAAATTAAATTTTCCTCCGTAAATATCATTTGGAAATTCCTTCCGCTTCTTTAAAGGAAATGACGTAATTTGGTAGACGGGTTCTAATATTGAATACAGCAGAGTTATCTTTCTTGCAATTAATTACAGTTAAATACGGAATAAAACGGCGCACACTAGAATTTAGTCGACCTTAAAAAAGCGCCCCAGTCTATGCGTTTTTTGTTCTAAAATAAATCGTAAAACATGTCGGCTGCTCCCCCAATTTTAATGAAAAGTGGCTAAGTTAACTTACCCGTGGTTCGAGACGACCACGGATATGAAATGCAGCCATTGCGTCTCAACCAAACAATGTAATCCATTTGCCTCGGAAAATGGATGTTTGAACTTCCAAAATAGTAGATACAAAATTAATTGTCCGTCATCAAGACGTATGTCGGACCAGATGTGAAAGATCTTGACTTTATGCAAGTTGCACAAACATTCAGCCAAATGAAAGAAATGAAAAAATAAAAAGTAACAATAAATAATAAATAGTTTATATTTTTTATTTTATTTAACAAGGTCAATAAAAATGCATATGTAGTTGAACAATGTATATAAATGTAAAGAATTAAACCTAGACAATATATATATATAAGTAATACCTTACTTTAAAGTAATAAATGATTAGGACCCTCATATTTTTCTCTGGGACCCTCATATTTTATGAGCACGAGTCCCTGGGACTCTTAAATAAAAATTCCTAGTAGAAACCCTGTAGAAGTAAGTTTTCTCTCTGTGTTACTTTTGACATTTAAGTTATTTATCTATTTCAGCTTTGCTATTTCTTTTAACAGCCTGACATTGTCAGAATTGTCGGTAAAAATAAAATTGAGGTACCACATGGGGAAAATCTTTAAAAAGTAGTTTCGTCATTGAAAAAAGTGAAATTATATTTTGATAATTTTCACTGTGAAATTATCAAATATAATTTTCACGGATAAATCAGTAATCCACTACTGAAAAGCATAAAATAAGAGGAGGTAATTGTATCAAGCATTTTTTTTTAGGAAGTGGCTAGCCGTACGGGCCCGTACGGCTAGCCAAAAGTTCTAGCCGTACGTGAGTCACGTACGACTAGCCAGGACACACTGTATTGTCTAGCCGTACGGCACTTTTCAAATTTATATAGAAGTCGAAATTATACATATATGTTTTTTCATGACTTTAAGCGAGGATTCGTATATTTACTTTAAATAGAGATTAATCGCCTTGTTGGCTACAGTAAAAGAAGTACGAATATCGATCTTTATCATTTCAAGACATCGAGAAAAAATAGCGTTAGGTCGCAGTTAAATAACATCAATTGAAATAGTTTACAAAATTTTGATAATAATCCTTTTTTGTTTCATAAAGTTTAATTTTCGACACCTTTAAAATGAAAAAAAAATCAATGTTAGGCTCTGATATTTGCGTCAATTACCGACGGTATAGAAGTTTGTCCATCATTAAGGAAAGTTTGCATGTTCCGTGAAACGCATTTTAAAATTCTATTGTCAGTCCCTGGGTAGGCTTTATTTAAGGCTTATTAATTGTTTGTGCTTTTATGTTCGATATTTATCTACTGTATTTGAAAATTATACAATTATTTTTGCTTTTCACTGTTTTTTTTCAATGTTCTATGTATTTATTTATTTATTTCACTCCGATCATTATTTATTCGATCCATGTGCTTAATTAACAAAAAAACATCTTTCAGTCAAATAAAACAACAAATCATAATCATAAGGCACAAAATAACATATGCATGGTCGACTTCTTTATAATTTTGAAAAGTGCCGTACGGCTAGACAATACAGCGAGTCTTGGCTAGTCGTACGTGACTCACATACGGCTAGAACTTTTGGCTAGCCGTACGGGCCCGTACGGCTAGCCACTTCCTTTTTTTTACTATCAAGCACTAAGAATAGTCTGGCCTTGCTGTCCTACCGACAGCTCTTGTTACTGTAAAAAATTCTTATTTTGTTATGTGATAAATATGAAAAATGATTTTAAAGGACGTCCACTGAGGTCAAAAGAAAATTTGAAATTTTTACAAAATTTGAAATTCTTACATAATTATGTTAAGCAAAACACTTAAAAGTGGAAAAATCATTAGTAAATTGAAAAAAAAAATTTTGTGCTTTCCTAAGAAAAGTGTTGCAACGATTTTCTTTTTTGAATCAATTTGCACAGTGAAAACGATGATCCTAAAAAAAAAAAAAAAACGGGCCAAGTTATATGTCCAGACTTAAGTTTAACTGTACAAAAATCTTTGAAAAAAAAAAAATTTCAAATCCCACCTGTGGAGTCCTTTTAATACATGTACATTGTATATAAAAAAAAATTTTGGAGACATTATTTTTGCCTTCGCTATCTGTCTGTCTGTCCGGATGTCTGTCGCACTACCAAATAGGGAAATGGGGGGTCATCTAAATGTAAACAGAACAAAAGAGAACAATAGAGTTCATTCCGTAACAATAGAATAAGGGGCCATTGGCCCATTAGTAAACAAAAGAAAATAACAAAAGAAATGGCCCCTTATTCCATTTCAGCTGGACGTCCCTCTGTCCGTCCGCATTTAGCTTATTCGGCCTTCATAAGTCAAACTACTAGTTGGTTTTCTACCAAACTTTACAGCAGTGATCAGTACCATCCCTAGTTGTGCAAATCACCGGCAAATTCTGCTTCGCTGTACAAAATGGGCGCCAGAGCTAAAAAAAGAATATCTTATCCAGCCTTAACAGGTCAAACTATCAGTGGGATTTCAACCAAACTTTACAGGAGTGAGCAGTACCATCCCAAGTTGTGCACATGGCTGGCACATTCCCTTTCGCTGCACAAAATGGCTGCCAGAGCTTAAAATAGAAAAATCTTGTCCGGCCTTCACAGGTCAAACTACAGGTGCGATTTCAACCAAACTTTACAGGAGAGATCAGTTCCATCCCTAGTTTTGCCCATCACCAGCAAATGCTGCCAGAGCTTAAAATAGAAAATCTTGTCTAGCCTTCACAGGTCAAACTGCAGGTATGATTCCCACCAAACTTTACAGGAGTGATCATTACAGGAGTATTCAGAGCCATATATAGTTTTGGGAAACATGATATGTTTTTTCTGCCAAAAACTCTTCTAGTTTATTATTATGTTCTTTTTCTAGGAGAATATTGCGAAACTTCTGAGATTCGAGTCTTCAAAACTTCCTGCAGGGGAGAAAACCAGTATTGAAGATTATTGCAGTCGAATGAAGGCGGGAAAAAGAAACATTTTCTACTTGTCAGCACCCAGGTAAAAATAGCGTTATTAAAATTATGCCTTTAATATAGACAAATATAAGAAAACACATTTAAGTTTAATTGTATGAAACTAAAATGCCCAGAGGTTAGATATTTGGCATGTACTGCAGCATTGCCTTGTAGATCTAAAGACAATGGGGCATTGTATTTTCATACAATATGTATGTACAAGGTATTGTTGAAGGTACAAGGTATTGTTTAAGGCTCAAAATTTTGTCATTAAATTTCTTTTTTGCACTTAAAATAGTTGCCTTCTAAAAAAGCATTCACTTTAACTTGAAATAGTTCAAGGGCAAATAAGTCGGCTAACTTGAAATAGTTCAAGAGCAGGTCAGTCTGCTAAGCACATTTGCAGAGTAAACCCCCTTTTCTGTGTTGATTTTATTGAACTATCCAGCACTGAGAAATATGAAGGGTGATATCCATAGACAGGTCTTGTTAGTTATGACATTATAATGAAAGGATTTCATTTAACATTTATCCTATTTTTAGTTGAAGATTACAATTGAAAGGATGAAGTTTCATGTATCATTTATTCTATTTTTGATCATGACATTATAATGAAAGGATGAAGTTTCATGTATCATTTATTCTATTTTTGATCATGACATTATAATGAAAGGATGAAGTTTCATGTATCATTTATTCTATTTTTGATCATGACATTATAATGAAAGGATGAAGTTTCATGTACCATTTATTCTATTTTTGATCATGACATAGTGAAAAGATGAAGTTTCATGTACCATTTATTCTATTTTTGATCATGACATAATGAAAGGATGAAATTTCACGTACCATTTATTAACCAGGTTTTCAATTTTGAAAATCCTGGTTATTAGATTGGGGTATGGCGGGCGGATGGGCGGCTGGGCGGATGGGCGGATGGGCGGGCGGGCGTCAAACGAAATTGTGTCCGCTCTGTAACTCTTCAACCCTTTGAAGAATTTTGATGAAACTTCAGACAAATGTTTACCACATCAAGATGACGTGCAGAACGCATGTTCGCATGGCTGGCTCCAAGGTCAAGTCACAGTGACATTAACATTGAAAATCCTGTCCGCTGTGTAACTCTTCAACCCTTTGAAGAATTTTGATGAAACTTCAGACAAATGTTTACCACATCAAGATGACGTGCAGAACGCATGTTCCGCATGGCTGGCTCCAAGGTCAAGGTCACAGTGACATTAACATTGAAAAATCCTGTCCCGCTCTGTAACTCTTCAACCCTTTTGAAGAATTTTGATGAAAACTTCAGACAAATGTTTACCACATCAAGATGACGTGCAGAACGCATGTTCCGCATGGCTGGCTCCAAGGTCAAGGTCACAGTGACATTAACATTGAAAATCCTGTCCGCTCTGTAACTCTTCAACCCTTTGAAGAATTTTGATGAAACTTCAGACAAATGTTTACCACATCAAGATGACGTGCAGAACGCATGTTCCGCATGGCTGGCTCCAAGGTCAAGGTCACAGTGACATTAACATTGAAAATCCTGTTTACATGATTTTAACTTGATTTGGCAGTCAAAGGTCATATCATCTTTGGAGGTAATTTAAAAAAGATATGATATATTATTTCATGTCTACTTTGTAACTTGTTTTTCATTATACAGAATTATCAATATAATTATAGTGAACAAATTCTTCTGTGCTGAACTCGTCCTACATTTTCTCAACGGATTTTGTTCAAACTCTTCAGACAAATGTTTACCACATCAAGATGACGTGCAGAACGCATGTTCCGCATGGCTGGCTCCAAGGTCAAGGTCACAGTGACATTAACATTGAAAATCCTGTCCGCTCTGTAACTCTTCAACCCTTTGAAGAATTTTGATGAAACTTCAGACAAATGTTTACCACATCAAGATGACGTGCAGAACGCATGTTCCGCATGGCTGGCTCCAAGGTCAAGGTCACAGTGACATTAACATTGAAAATCCTGTCCGCTCTGTAACTCTTCAACCCTTTGAAGAATTTTGATGAAACTTCAGACAAATGTTTACCACATCAAGATGACGTGCAGAACGCATGTTTCACATGGCTGGCTCCAAGGTCAAGGTCACAGTGACATTAACATTGAAAATCCTGTCCGCTCTGTAACTCTTCAACCCTTTGAAGAATTTTGATGAAACTTCAGACAAATGTTTACCACATCAAGATGACGTGCAGAACGCATGTTCCGCATGGCTGGCTCCAAGGTCAAGGTCACAGTGACATTAACATTGAAAATCCTGTTTACATGATTTTAACTTGATTTGGCAGTCAAAGGTCATATCATCTTTGGAGGTAATTTAAAAAAGATATGATATATTATTTCATGTCTACTTTGTAACTTGTTTTTCATTATACAGAATTATCAATATAATTATAGTGAACAAATTCTTCTGTGCTGAACTCGTCCTACATTTCTCAACGGATTTTGTTCAAACTTTCACAGAAGCTTTGTCATCAAGCACCCTGGCACATATTGTCGGGGTTTTGTGATTGGATAGTTTTTGACCTAATTATGGCCCTTTGTTTTTTTCCTTATACATAATATTATAGTGAACACTTCTTCAGTGGCAATTCCTCCTACATTATTCATGTTTTACATTGCACATAGTTACATTGTTTGTTGCTTGTATTTGTATTTCAAATACAACATATTTATCTACAATGGTGATAATTGAAAACCTGGTTTCATGGCATTGCCATGTTTCTTGTTCTATTTTTGATCATGACATAATGAACGGATGAAGTTTCATGTACCATTTATTCTATTTTTGATCATGACATAATGAAAGGATGAAATTTCATGTACCATTTATTCTATTTTTGATCATGTCATAATGAAAAGATGAAGTTTCATGTACCATTTATTCTATTTTTGATCATGACATAATGAAAAGATGAAGTTTCATGTACCATTTATTCTATTTTTGATCATGACATAATGAACGGATGAAGTTTCATGTACCATTTATTCTATTTTTGATCATGACATAATGAACGGATGAAGTTTCATGTACCATTTATTCTATTTTTGATCATGTCATAATGAAAAAGATCAACTTTCATGTACCATTTATTCTATTTGTAGTCGTGAGATTGCAGAGGGATCACCATATTTGGAAGCTCTAGCTAAGAAAGATGCAGAAGTTCTATTCCTGTATGAGCCGTATGATGAACTGGTACTGATGAATCTCCAACAATTTGATAAGAAAACTCTGAAATCTATAGAAAATGAAATAGTAGAAGACAAAGAAGATAACACTAATACTGTTGATGAGAAAGGTGAAATTTTTATATTCAGTTTTTCATTTTCAACCATTCGCACTCTATATATTATAAATATCTGTACTAGGCCATCTTCCAAGCTGGACAAAATCTGAGTCCATAATTTTAGATGTGTACGATTGTAATAGTTTATGTTGGGCAAGTGTTACCAAGAAGTAAAAAAAAAACACAAGGCAGCATTGTATTTATAAGTCTAGATAAAACCTTTTGTCACTTATAGGGAAAATTTTAAAAAGTACTCAGCTAGACTGAACGAGTACAGACTATGAGCAGAAGGCACAAATAGGATTGGTGTATTAAGTTGCTGCTGGCAAGCAAAGGAACGATGGTTAGGAAACTACCCGCCTATATGACTGAAATACTGTTGAGAAAAGGCGTAAACTGAAGCAAACAAACAAACAAAAGCTGGCAAGCAAAGGGTTAAACTGAATAACATTGTGCTATAGACTGTTTGATTTAAGATTTGAATTTGAGTCTTATCATAAGTGTTGCGAGTTACTTTTATATCGAGTGATTTTGATATTGAGTGATTTTGATATTGAGTGATTTTGATATCGAGTTACTTTGATATTTGGTGACTTTGACATCGAATATAAAACACATCAACCATTTAAACAAGAAACCGTTTTGTTTAAGTGGTCAAGTTTCATGCTTGGTTAGATTACAAAGAATTATGGGTTGTTACCTGATTGGTCCGGAAATAATTGCATGATTGGATCTTCCTTTACCAACAGAAATTGAAGGTTGCAATATGACCTTTAAAGTGTCAGTGTGAATTAAACCATCTCCATCCAACTAAAAGAACATCAGCAGTGCCAAAAACTAGCATATTATCTCTCAATTTCAAAAAGGAATTTTCTTTGAAGGTGCCAAACAAAATTGAAATCGGCAAAATATTCTCCAGATCATTAAATGCACATGAATGAAAAAAAGGCATGAAAATAACTGCTGAGGACCAAATCATTTGTCCTTCAGGAAAAAAGGAAGAATTTACAAATTGAAAAAACTACCTAAAATTTAGCCTAATTAACCAAAAAAATATATTTATTATCTGCCAAAATAACCAATAATTGAAAGATTTTAGTAAACGAAAAATACTTCACATCAACAGATATTTGATGTATCTAGTGGATTATACTTGTGTCTGTTGCTGCCTTAGTTATTGTTTTATGACATCTTCAATATTTACAGATGAGAAAAGTTTAAAACAAGATGAAGCTGAAACATTGATGAATTGGTTAAAAACAACACTGACGAACAGGGTACAAGATGTAAAGGTAAACACCTTATCTACATTACATGTAAATTTAAATTGTAAGCTAAAAAAATATATTCAATTAATACTAGTTATTAAAATTTTACATTATTATTATAAAGACTGTGTAAAGAAAATATTAAGCTACATAAAGGTAAAGATCATTACATTATTACTTGTCAAAATTTTGAATTATTCTGCCACCTTCACAAAATGTGCAGAGGGCTTATAATGGAACAGTGTTGTGTTGATCTGTTATCTTATACATCCTATACCCCTTGAAAGACTGTCTTCTCAAAAAGCAGTGTGCAGAAATTGTGCTGTTGTTGTGCCAGCTCAAGGTCAAGGTCACACTTTAAGGTCAAATGACTGAACATTTTGTAACCATTATAAATCTTATATCCTTTAAAGATTTTTTTGTCAAAATTTGTACAAATGTTCACCCAAACAAGGTGATGTGCAGAACCTGTGCTTCCCATGTACCTGCTCAAGGTCATGGATTTACCCAAGCCAGTTTTTTCAGCAGGCAAGAGTTTAACAGTGAGACCGGTTTTATTTCATCCTTTTTTTCGACAAATTGTATTACAGAATCTCATAGTATATGTTCTATTTTAACTTCAGATTACGAAAAGATTGTCCAGTCACCCATGTGTAATAACTGTGAAGGAAATGGGCGCTGCGAGACATTTTCTACGTACATCAATAGCTGACCAATCACCTGAAGAAAGATTTAGAATTCTTCAACCTACACTTGAGATTAACCCTAGGTAGGAGACTACAAATGTTTTCAGGAAAAATGAAAGCTAAACATTACCTATGTTGAATTTGATTATTTGAAGTACATGTATATTGAATTTGAATGGATAAAGCAGTATTTTAGCAATTTTATTTTGGAAAAAATGCATCATACCATGTAAAGCCTGGTCAAAAAAGCCTCCTGAAAACTATCTACAGCATGCCAGTGACAATTGTTTCTAAAAATAGAAGATCGAGAAAAAAAATTGTCCATTTATCTTATTTGCTTAAAGCGAACAGACCGGTTGGAGGTATTGAAGGGTTTCCTTATGGTTTATTTATATTATGGATGGCAATGTTCGTTATATTTCCACCTTCTTTTGCTTTGACAATTATATGAAACAATGTGTCTAAAAATAACATATTTGACCTTTAGCAAAACTGAGTGTCACTTTAAAACCATATCAAATAACAAATCCTGAAATCCTCAGATATGTTCTAATTAATTGAGCTGCGTCACGACAAAACCAACATAATGGGATTGCAACCAGCATGGATCCAGATCAGCCTGCGCATCCGTGCAGTCTGATCAGGATCCATGCTGTTCGCTATCAGTTTCACTACTTGTTATAGGGTTTGTAAGCGAACAGCATGGATCCTGATCAGACTGTGCGGATGCGCAGGCTGGTCTGGATCCATGCTGGTCGCAAACCCACTATGTTGGTTTTGTCGTGACGCGGCTCTTATGTGTTTGTCATCCACTATTTTAAGATTGTTCTATTACATGTATATCATTTATTTTATATTTTCAGTCACACTCTGATTAAACAGCTAAACAAATTACAATCATCAGACCCCTACCTGGCCAAACTTCTAGCCGAACAGGTATGTGTTGTAATGATTCTTGACACAGTAAATTACAAATTATTAACCCGTAAAAACTGTTAGTAAGAAAGTTTTTCTTGAAACAGATTTTAATTACTAAGTTACACAACTAATTTTGTCCTTTTTTAATCCATCTTAGAGCTGTATTGATTGAAATAATATGGTTGTATTAACAATATTTTTCTGTCAATCATTAAACATAAAAGTTACTTTTACTAACTGATTATATAACTTATCTAAAATGTATAAACATATGCTGTTATTATATAATGGACTTTTTTCATAGCAGTGATGACAAAAAAATGGTCCAAAAAAAATCATGCAATGGGAATTTATAAATAAAATACATCATGATTGTATGAGCAGAACATGTGTTTTACTAAAATCCTTTATACAGATACAGAAGTGGATTATAAAACAGGAATGTGAATTATAAAACAACTTATATAAGCAATTATCAAGATATTGGTGTATTCAATGTTGATATTTGTTATCCTATAACAAAAGCTATCAGCGATATGCTTTGCACTGTATCAAACATCTTGGGGGCTTAGAGTCCTGTAAACTTAGATGAGTCCAGTAAATTGAGAGTTTGCACTATTACGATGACTGATGTAACATTGTTCCCCCCTGTGATTTTCAGCTTAAAATGATAGTAAAAAAGTCATGAAAACTTCTCGGTAGACAATAAAATTATGTTGGCCTTTCCTTCCATCCTTCCTTTAGTCATACTTAACAATTTCTTTTAACATTATTTCTACATGTGAATGTTATGAAAGATATTTGATGTGTTGATTATATACACAAACAGAAATACAACTATAACAGTTACTTCCCTTTGACCGAACAGATTTTCAACTGCCATGAGTTACTTCCCTTGTTGATACATCTAAATGTGGTCAATTTCAGTACTTTAATGTACACATAAGAAAATTTGTAAGAAAAGATTATGAAATTAATTTACATGAAGATGATACAGCAAGAGGTTTGATTGACATGATTTATAACTATACGACTTGTTTACATAGACAAATTTGGTCTCTGGTTAAAATAAAAATCATATACACACAAGTACACAAATAAAACTCTATACACTGTGTGGACAAGTTAATCATGTAAGTGTGGTATTGTGTATTAGCATTTAGAATGAGAACAGAGATATGTTGCTTTTTCTCAAAATTAATCATGTTAACAGTCACTGAATAACTTTATACAAGGCAGGTAAAAAAAGTTATAAAAATGTATGTCCCATAGTAGTACTGGAAGTATCTCAGCAAATAAAGCTTTATTTAGAAGGATATTCTTGTATTTGCATCAACATTTTTGAAAAGTGCACTAAATTGACGTTTTTACATGATTTTATACCACTTATATTAATTCTCAGTTTTAAAGAATTTTAAGGGTTTATTAAACAAGTTGCATTTATAGTGATTTGAAAATCATATCTGTCCTTTTGTGCTCATACATTATTAAAACAATTGATAGAAAAAACAACAACAACAATTATCTATAAAAAAACAGGCTGTATTTTAAATCCAGAACTTTGACTGCAGTGAGTTTTCACCTCTGTTAAAGTCATGGGACGAGATATTTTGTAATCATAAAGTTATCACCTGATATAAAGGTGACTTTGGCTACGAATATCATGGTTAAATTAATCTATACTGCTCTACAAAATAAAGGTAAAACCATATTACTTTATACTAAATACATAAAAACTTGTGCACATGCATTTTAACGGCAAGCAAGTTGGCAGCAGCAAATATTACCTGAAAAGGATGATCAGATGACACTTTCATACCATCTTATCATGGTCTGTATTGTATTATATAAGCGGTCCTGTTATTGTTCAACAGGATGTTTATGCGTATTTAACTTACATAAAGACAAAGTGACCTTCCTAAGGAAAAGATAAGTAGACTTTACAAAAAAAACAAGACTGTTGATGCAGACTGATTAAAAATGGTTCCTGGCCTTCCTAGACTTAGATATTATGCTGGTTCCTGGCATACTCTTTAACTTTGTTTCAATATTTACAACTCTTGTTAACAGCTAAACTGTTTTAAAGGAACTCCACTGAGGTCCAAAAGTCTTAAAACATAATAAACTTTGAATTTCTTACATAGATCAGCAGGGGCACTTAAAACAGAAAATTGTGCAAAAGATAATTGAGAAATATTTCTATTTGTTTGCTGTTCTTAGCCATATTTGTGTGAAAAGTGTTGGAACACTTCAGTTTGGAGTATTTTTACATTCTGGATAAACAGAGTGAGTGAATGATCTGAAATTTTGCATGTAAGTTATTGGTCTATACTTTCAACAAATTGAACTTAAATCTCAAAAATTATTTCCAGTCCCATCATGTCAAAAACCACAGTGGAGTCCCTTTAACACTAAACTTGCTGTGCATTCAAAGTATATGGAATTAAGTAATAATAGAAAAAATAAGTGCCCAACAGTATAGAGCCTGGTTAACCAGACATATATTTAAGGGATGTACAGGCCTTGGCTTTACTCTAAGTTACCGCGTTGGCTAAGGCTTACTTACTTTATGAGGTCCAATGGTACGTTCAATATATTCAAGTCCTGCAATGTTGTGTGGATTGGCATGGCCGAGTGCGGTTAACGTTCTAAGGACTAGTAAGCTAATGATCGCTTAGCTTGCATGGGTTCAAACCCGACAGGGGCCAAGTCGTTGCTTTCCTTAGAGGCAGGAAACTTTACACTCTTGTCCAGTACTAGGTTCGTTCAATAACGGACTTCAAAAGTGCGTATTCTAAGCTTAATAGCTTGCGCTGGCACAATCGCAACTAATTAAATTCTGTATAAAAACCAATGTTTGCAGTTAAAGTCACATAATTGTGTTTCTCTCACATTTTCACTATAATCATAGACAGAAGCGATTGTCTAGTGGTTAAGTAGTTTGCCTCTCAACCCAGGCATTGTGGGCTCAAGCCTTACTTCAGAAAGGACTATGTTCACTTGTATGACACCAGTTAGTCTGGTCTGTTTGGTTCCAGGCAGCAGACAGACAACAGGGGTACAAAGAAGCTCTAAACATTATTGACAATCAAGCTAAAATAAATATGTTTAAACTATCCAAAGAAAAAAGACACTGTTTAAGAGATTAAAGAGAAAGGAAGAAGAAAAAATGTTCATTTCAAGTGAAAAAAAAACGGTAAAAACCCATTTAGCATTAAGAAAAAACTCAGACAGACACAAAGTTATGCTGTCATTTTGAAATGTTTAAATTTGACCGATATTGTAGATGATAACTATACATGGTATTTCAAAATTTGGTCATGATAGATAAACATATTAACTTCACTATCTCCCCACCAACATGTTACGACTCTGTCTACCAGTGTATAGTGTACAGATTATTTTATCACTAAGATTTTAAATTATTTTGAACTGAAAATCCTGGGTTGGACTGGTCTCCGTTTTCTTATGACACAGATATTTATGTAACAGAATTTTTTTAGCATATAAACCAGTCTGATTTTGCAATTTCATTTTTGCTATCGTAAAATTTTAAGTTCTAAATAAAACATACTGTTTAAGATAAATATTAAAAGTAAAAATTTTCAGATGCAGACATTAGAAAATTTTTCCTCAAGGTCAAATTCAATTTTTCTCAAGATTTGTCACAGTTTACACCCCTAGGTTTTTGTAATGGACATGACCTACTTTGAGCTTGGGGCTGCCCATTGTAGATTTAGGGGATTTCAATTTCAAAATGCAGATTTGGTCAGCTTGGACTGCAAAGAAATGCAAGTTGTTCTTGTCGTCTGCTGGTATCGTAGGCCAATCTTTATGATTACTTTGACTGGCACCTAAATGATTTAGTAAACTGATTTGGGACTAGATTATCTTACAAAATGTTGGCTTTGATCAGAGCAAACTGTTGAACTCTTTAAATAGATAAACTGAATGCCATAAATACAGTAATAAGATAAATATTCTTGATGTTTCAAAAAAAATTCAAGCAAAAAATGATTTTATAAAACAACAGTGAACACCGTTTTAAAAATTTGGATGACTGTAAAAATAAAGGTCATTAAGACTGTTTATTAGAGATTTCGTAAATATCTATGGGGAAAAAACACACACAAAAAAAAAAGAAAAGAAAAAAAAAGAGAATATTCAGAATGGTACAGTCTTGCTTAAAAAAGGTTAATTCTCATAAAATGTTAAAATTACACAGTTTTTTTTATTTACAATTTCCAATGAAGTAATCTTGAAAGCTTAGGGAGCTGGAAAATATGGACTGTATAGCTTTATGTTGAAGATTTCAGTAGTCTAAGTAAACACCCATTTGACTTTATGAATTGTTTAATCATAAAGATGTAAGGATATTATTATTGAGTGGATAGCTTAAGTCAAGTATTGAAATGTCATTTCCTAGACACTTTTAAGTATGTTCAGATAACTTATAGAGAGAGAGGTGATCTTTTTGAGTGGTGATTGTTGAACAAATTTTAACCTTTGCCTTGCTGAATTTATGATAATGGAATTGTCCTATTTTATATTTTGGAATATTCCATTGTTAGTTTAAGGGATGGCAACATCAAAACTCTAAATCTAAACAGTCAGCAATGTATAGTCTGGTTACAATGAATGAATAAGCAGCCACAGGCATGACAATAAACTTTTGTTATAATTTTATTGTATCTCCAGCTCCTGTGGCCAAGTGCTTAAGGTCCTTGACTTCGAACCACTTGCCACTCATCGCTGTGGGTTAACTTCAGATTTTTCCATGTGAGAAATCTTTTTAGCCTATGATGTGTTAGTACAACATGAAATTCAACAAGAAAAAAAACCTTGTCTTATATGTGTTCTAAGTTAAATAAGGGTCCATCGGCCCTGTCAGGCACTGAGAGTACGAGCCCGAGTTTCTTATCTCATATTATTATATGAACTTGAATATATATTTTCAGTTGTACGACAATGCCATGGTAACGGCAGGGCTACTGGATGATCCACGATCAATGGTGTCACGGTTGAACCAGCTTCTAGAGAAAGCTCTCGATAAAGTTTGAAAATCGCGTTCAAGTTTGAAAATCGCCTCTGTGCATACAAATGTAGATACAGTGTACAAACAGAGACATAGTGTAGATGTGTGTGAAAAAATATATTTGATTCAAAACAGTGATTCCAAACTCGAAAATGAATTCAAGGGACACATGCCCCTGTACAAACATTTGTAGTATAATAAGCAATATCGCAAAGATCTTTGGTTTTTCAATAAGCTAATTTTGTTAAGAAAGTTGTAATTCCTACAAAGTAGCTAGCTTTCACACTGGAGAGGTTAAAATGTATCATGCTACATAGGTATATTTTATTTTATTAATTGAATATTTTCTGCATTTAATGTCACAAGTTTAATGCATTATTTGTAACACATCTAATGTCAAGAATTTAAATATACCTTACTATAATTATATAATGTCAAGAATTTGATAAACTTTACTGTAGTATAATGTTAAGACTTTGATATACTTTATATAATGTCAAGGATTTGATATACTAAGTTCTGGAATATAATGTCAAGAATAAAATTCACTTTAATGCAAATATTTGAATTACATTTGAGCCGCGTCACGACAAAACCAACATAATGGGTTTGCGATTAGCATGGATCCAGACCAGCCTGCGCATCCGCGCAGTCAGATCAGGGTCCATGCTGTTCGCTTACAGACCATATAACAAGTAAAGAAACTGATAGCGAACAGCATGGATCCTGATCAGACTGCGCGGATGCGCAGGCTGGTCTGGATCCATGCTGGTCGCAAAACCATTATGTTGGTTTTGTTGTGACGCGGCTCATTTGAAGACTCATGTCAAGAATTTAATATACTATATTTCATTTAATAATAAGGTTTGAATATACTTCATCTCATGTCATGAATTGAGTATTACTTAAGCTAATGTCAAAAAATGAATATACTGAACATGTAATGTACTTTTAATTAATCTAATGTTAAGAATGAAATTTACTTTTTTTATCTTTTATCAATTATTAATTAATAGTCAAATGTTAAGAATTGAATTTTACTTTTTTCATGTAATGTTAAGTATTATATTAAGTTTTATCTAATGAGAGGAATTTATTCTTTATCTAATGTCAAGAATTGAATTTATCTTTATGAATTTACCTTTTTCTAATGTCAAGAATTGAATTTATCTTTATGAATTTATCTTTTTCTAATGTCAAGAATTGAATTTATCTTTATCTAAAGAGAAGAATTGAATTTATCTTTATGAATTTATCTTTTTCTAATGTCAAGAATTGAATTTATCTTTATGAATTACCTTTTTCTAATGTCAAGAATTGAATTTATCTTTGTGAATTTATCTTTTTCTAATGTCAAGAATTGAATTTACCTTTATCTAAAGAGAAGAATTGAATTTATCTTTATGAATTTATCTTTTTCTAATGTCAAGAATTGAATTTATCTTATGAATTTATCTTTGAATTGAATTTATCTTTATGAATTTATTTTTTTATAATGTCAAGAATTAAATTTATCTGAAGAGAATAATAGAATACTCTATGCCATATTTTTATATCTACAGATCTAAGCCTGTAAATTCCATGAAATATTTCAAATGTTGTTATAACGAGTTGTGATTAAAAATAATAAATATATGTGTCTTTAAATGTCAACAGTTAAGTGTGTAATGAGGCAAAGAGTTCTTGTCAGTATTTTATATGCGGAAAGTCCAAGCGGGGCCTTAGGTCCTGCAAGGACTGTAGTGCTCTTAGATAACATGTATAAATCACATTAAAATCAATAAAAAAAATTATGCTTAATGCTAACATGTTTGAGAAAAATTCTTAGTTAGCTTGGTGCCGCCATTTTGAAAACTTTGGACTGGTTCTATATTTGAGCTATAATTAGATTTCAGGACGCTTTTGAAAAAACATGTAATAAAAGCTCCTACACAATTCAGACCGTTGCTTGAAGAGGCGGCAGTCTTCTGTCCTAAATTATATTTCCGGTAGAAGTATCATGTAGAAAATCAGTAAATAAATATCATAATTATTGCTTTGAACTGAAGTAACGATGAATAACAAGTTTTTAATTTTTGTAATGTCCCCTCTGCTCCGACTTCCAAAAATAAATGGGGAATGTATAATTACAGGTTTTGTTTGTTTACTCATAGGTGTCTGGTAGAATAGAAATGCATATTTAGCTGCTAGTGTGGAAATGGGTTCATTTTACCTGATGCATTTCTGAAGTTAGGGGTACAATTTTGCATATTTACATAGTAATTATCTGTTTGTATTAAAATTCAACACATTTAACTCATTTTTAAACATTTCTGACGCTACAGTGGAGCTACAATTTTGTATTTTGAAATTTATGCGGCTGTTTTGATATATGTATTTGCTAAATGAGAATAAAAAAAAGAAGACTTTCCATTTGGTTTTAATGTAGAGTAATCCTTTGTATTTGACAATGCAATGTTTTAAAACACACACAAAAATGCTGAATTTGTGAAATGGTCTTTTCATCTGCCAATTTTGGAAGAAAATTTAAACAGTATAGTGTCTTGTCATTATGCACAGTTGTACAGGCTAGCCTGGTTAAATACTGGTGGCAAAGGCTAAATCACTTTCCGTTCCAACATATTAAGGGTAAACTTTCATAGACCATAGGCTATTTGTTAAAAAATTAGCTTAGTTAAACAGAAGTGAGCATTAACTTTTCGATTTGAAGTTTATCAACATTCAACATATTTAGCTTGTTATTGGAAAAGTGGGCAGCTTCTAAAACAGTTGCAATATCTCTGTCTTGTCCTTTTCTGGGGCTACAGGGATAAAAAGTACCAGCATGAATGACTTACTTGTAAGAGGCAACTAAATGGGTTCGAATAACTTGAGTCTATGTTTTTCTTAGCTCAAAAGCTGAAGTGGTTTTAACCCCTGGCTTTGCTTTGAAGATTGTAACACCCAAGGTGAGCCGAAATCATCTTTCCTGTGTCAGCGCCATATGACCTTTACCGTGTTGGTCCATTGTAAAATCTATCAAAAAAGAATTTACTTTTCAAGAAATGGAAAATGTTATAGATATTCTCCAAAATTTGTCTTCCATACTGCTTGGTATCTTGGTATTATAAGAGGATTGTTTGGTCTCTTGGTGGGGCTATATAATTCAAACACTGAAAAAAATATCTTGTTGACCAAAATAGCATGTCTGTTAAAAAAAATTTCCTGTCCTGTCTCAAACTTTGTTTATATGAATTACATATACTTAAGATGCAGTAATGCGTGTGCCACTGGAGGTAGCAAACCTATTAAAATAACCATCACTAGACAAAATCAGTAAAACTTGATATACTTCAGTGATTCTTTGCATGATACAAGATTATAAACTTTGTGGAAAGTAAATATTGTCTGCAAGCTTTCCTAATTTATAGATAATTTTGGTTAATGTGTTTGTGTCTTTTTTACTCAATCCCACTTTCAGTTAAATAAAGGAACTTGTGTTGGCTTTTAAAATTTTGATCTATTTGACCGAACTCTTTCACAACCATTGCACTTGATTAACAGACAAAGTGATCCCAATACTTTTTTTTTCAAAGGGACATATAATGTTGAAAATTTCTATAAAGATAATGCAGAAAATCAGTTAAAATCCTTAATCCACAATTCCAATGTTGTTACATAATCTTAAATATTTAATCTTTTTTATCTCTTTGAAAGTTGAAAGTAGGTCAAAAATATTTGCTCAGTTTGTGTGACAGTGAAGTATGTCTACATTTTATATGTGATTTGATATCTATATGCACAGATTAATCTGTGTTGATGGCGATGTCCAACTGTTACTCAATTATATCCATTTAAATTTGACTTGTGAGTTATATCACACATTTTACTTTTTTCACGAAGGTGACGATAGAAATCTGTGCTCTTAAAGTACTAGTAACTTGTTCAATTCTTTGAAGGCCCATTAAGCCAATTAGGCAGCAAAAGTGGGGTTTTTTTCTTTCATTTTTCAAAAGCCTTTTATTTTTAGCTCACCTGTCACAAAGTGACAGGGTGAGCTTTTGTGATCGCTTTTCGTCCGGCGTCCGTCCGTCCGTCGTCCGTCCGTCGTCCGTCCGTCCGTCCGTAAACTTTTACTTTAAATGACATCTCCTCATAAACCACTGAGCCAATTTCATCCAAACTTCACAGGAATGTTCCTTTGGTGGTCACCTTTAAAAATTGTTCAAAGAATTTAATTCCATGCAAAACTCTGGTTGCCATGGCAACCGAAAGAAAAAACTTTAAATATCTTCTTTTAAAAAACCATAAGAGCTAGAGCTTAGATATTTGGCATGAAACATCTTCTAGTGAGTGTCTACCAAGTTTGTTCAAATAAAAGCCCTGGGGTCAAAATTGGCCCCGCCCCGGGGGGTCATTGATTTTCCCTATATGCATATAGTAAAAACTTAAAAAATCTTCTTTTAAAGAACCCAAAGAGCTAGAGCTAAGATATTTAGCATGAAACATGTTCTAATGGGTGTCTACCAAGTTTGTTCAAATAAAAGCCCTGGGGTGAAAATTGGCCCCGCCCCGGGGGTCATTGATTTTTTAAGTTTTTGCTATACACATATAAGGAAAATCAATGACCCCGGGGCGGGGCCAATTTTGACCCCAGGGCTCTTATTTGAACAAATTTGGTAGACATCCATTAGAACATGTTTCATGCTAAATATCTTAGCTTTAGCTCTTTGGGTTTTTTAGAAGAAGATATTTTAAGTTTTTTCTTTTGGTTGCCATGGCAACCAGAGTTCTGCATGGAATTAAATTCTTTGAACAATTTTCAAAGGTGACCACCAAAGGAACATTCCTGTGAAGTTTGGATGAAATTGGCTTAGTGGTTTATGAGGAGATGTCATTTAAAGTGAAAGTTTACGGACGCTGGACGGACGAAAAGCGATCACAAAAGCTCACCTTGTGACAGGTGAGCTAAAAACACTTTGGTACAGGTCTGACCAAAACAAAACACTTTGGTACAGGTTTGACCAAAACAAATCACTCTGGTAGGTCAGTAAAAATCAAATTTAGCTACATGCTTCAAAATAGGAAGTATCATAACCAACTAATTGGCTTGTATATAATTTTTGTTTATCATCGCTCTTTTAACTGGAAAATGGATAAAGATGAAAAGGAAAGCATTAAACAAGACATACTGATGAGTTCTTCCAGTTTATTTGCACATTTACATGGAAACAAAATATATATATTATAACTGTGTCACTGTAGTCAACCATGCATGAAATGAAAAACAATATACAGCGTGATTTTACTGATGACTTCAGATAATGTGACATAATTTTACAACTATCCCGGAGCAACCAAACATAATTTTTTTATCATCCAAAGACTTATTCTATCAGAACTTGCCAACATCCTTTTCAGGTCTCTATACCTACAGAAGATATTTCACGATGATGTTCATGTAATAACCAATTGTAAGATAATTGTGAAAAATTTAAAATTACCATTTATTGTCATACAAATATTAGAGGGACTTTACCATCAACGTATATTGGAAATATAAATTCATCACAAAGAAGTATAATACGCTTATTAAATACCATTTTTTGGTACTTGCTAAAAAAAAACTAGAAGAAAAAGGAAATAATGGTATAATTATGTCACTTTATCATATTTTATCTATACATTGTGATGGAATGTTCCATTATATAAATGTAGGTAACAAAATGGGTTATACTACTACACACATGGGTTTAGGGATTTCTCAATCAAACTTTTTACGCTCATAAGTTTACAACCAACTGTTTACATGGGCGAAGACTAAAAAATTATCTGTATAGAAAGAATATAATATGCTAATATAAAAGAAAAGAGAAGTTTGGAGAGAGAAAAATGAGCGTAAGTAAACAAAAGCATAACAATACAGTCCAAGACTTTTATTCACTCATTTTTTGTCAGAGTTCAAAATGTAACAATTTTATAGCTGAAAAAATGTGAAATGTTGTTTTTTATTCTTCATATTTCAATCGAATCCATTTATCTTTATTTTAGAAATATGCATTCAGACATAAGTTTGGTGTGCTGTTTAAATACATTCTTCTTTCTTTTCTTTAAACAATGTCGGTCCGTACATTACTCACTTTTCATACATTTCATTTATTAAAATAGTTTGTTTCTTAAAATAACTGGCCAGATCAATCCAAATATATTATTTTTGAAACAGGTTATAAATTAAGAAAAAAAATCAAATAAAAATCATTCAGTAATAATAAAAAATATAAATAGATTATTTGAAACAGACTATACATACCTCAAAATCATTAGCAAACCACTCATTCTCATTAAATTTATTAATTATTTCACCAATGAATTTTGTCAGAATGTAAAATTAAACCATTTCAGCAAAGGTAATTTTTTTGTAATTCTAGCAACAAGCTAAAGCTTTACAATTCTGTCTTGGTTACGAGAAGCTACGAACATTTCAAAACAAATGTTCCGAAAAAAAACAACTAAATATAAAAATTATGACTAAAATCTATAATCTGATCACAAGAGACAGTTGTCTTGAAAGCATATAGAAGAAAAAGTATAAATACATAAATTCTTTTTGTTTTTATTTCACATATACATTATTTTTCTAAATCTTAACTATTTAACTGGTAAGTACAAGTTTATATCATCTAAACATTCTTATTCTACATTTTGGCAAATTTAATATGATTACTCATTATCAATTAAAATTAAAAAAAAAAAACTAACAAATTTAATTACAAAGATATAATGATATTTGATGAAATCTACATACATGTGTTACACTACATGTACACTACATGTACCTGGAGGGGAAAATTTTTAAAAGATCTTAATTTATTTTACCATGAAGTGAATTTATTTTACCATGAAGTGGGTTAATTTGTATTTAAACATTTTTTTGTACCTTCAAATGCTAAAAATAACAACTAAATTTTTATATTTACATTCTAATTTTTTTTTACTTTATTTTTCAAGTAACATTAACATTTTTTTTCCATATATATACGTATTGTATATATATTTACTCTACCCTGGTTTCTTCACAGTTTGTCAGTCCATCGTTCGAAGACTACTCACTATATACATGTAATATATTATAACAAAACATAATATACAATATTTATCACGAAAAGTGTTGTTTTTCAATTCAGTCAAAACAAGTTTTTTTTGTTATTTTTTATTTAAATAACATTCAGTAGCATACATGCTTCGTAAATGTAAGACCAGAAATATTGAGCATTTTTTATTCAAGTCGGTATTGCTTTGAACCGGATTAATTTAAAATATTGACAATAATTGTGATACAATATTCATGTATACACAAACTGACATAATATATATATGCACTTATGATCGCAGACAGTAAAAGTGCAAAATTTTGTCCGACTTAAATGAGAAATGCCCTGTATTTCGACACTCATAAATATATTTCTAGATATATCCACTATGAAAATTTGTTCATTATATTTATTCGGAATTATGAATATGATCAGCACATAAATCAATTCCTTGAGGACGTTGTGTCATTCGTTAGAATTTTTTGATGCAATGCAAAAATGTTGACATTTTCTCAATAGAATTAACCCGAACCTTAATCTACCCAAGCTTTGCATTCAATCAAGCCATTTATAAGATGCGTTTCACACTTGTATTTTGTTCCATATTAAAAAGAAAAGTGAATTTCATGTTTAAACTGTTATGACAGTAAGGAAAATGACTTCTTCTCATACTGTGTTGTTTTTTTTCTAAATTTTATAGACACTATTCTACCACAATCTTTCCAAGTATTATACTTTTTTATATTTTTATTATTTTGTTAAAACGGGTACCTAAAATGAGCACCGTAGATCTTAGTTCTTGGTCTTTGTGGCCAAAATTAGAGCCACAATCAGTCCGTATAAACCCAACACTTCAGCAAAAATAAGAATTAGAATCATTCCCACGAATAATCTTGGTTGTTGGGCTGTACCTCTTACGCCAGCGTCGCCTACAACACCGATAGCAAAGCCGGCAGCGAGACCGCTCAGACCGACACTCAAACCTGCTCCGAGATGACAGAAACTCCTGAAAAAATATAAATGGTTTGAAATGAAAACACATGCAAGAACTGCCTCCACAAAGATGTTTGGCTTTGTAAAGCAAAGAATTTCTGAATTCAGTCAAAAGTTGCTACCAAGTATTTTATCTTTGTATTACAATTTAATCTACACAATTCAAACTACACAAATGAGAAACATGTTACAATATTTTTGTGCATATTGCTGTAGACTATTGAAAAAACCTTTATCATTTCCTACTAAATCTCATACTTATCTAGAATGTGTACACTTTTTACACTTTTCTTTAGTCTTAAAACATAAAGATATACTATGGTCAAATTTGATATCAGAAAATATTGACAATTGCTACACAGTCTCTTTGTAAATATGAAATAAACATGTTTTGACTTCACACAAAGTTTATATGTCATGTTTTAAACTCTACACACATAGGTCGGCACAGTATAAATATATAGTTTTCAGACCTTGTTTCATTTTTTGCTGAAAAAAAAAATTTAATGGAATAAACATTCCCAAGAATAATTTAAATTCTCCTAAAAATTTTGTTATTTTGTTTATAAAATGCATTATAAAGATTATTTATAGCCACATTGTACATACATGTATAGGCCACCAAGAAACCTACACCCCCACCCACAAAAAATCCAGATTTGATTTTGTTTTTCGCAGGGACAAGGTCTTTTTCCTAGTTGCCAAACAATTGAATATTTGAAATTGAATCTTGAAAATTCAGAATCTGTGAAGATTTCTCCGAACCCACATCAACTTTCTAGGCACAATATACAACTTATTTCAAGAAAACGGGCCGTTTTTATGCGGATTTTTATCATCTGAATAAATATTGTTTACAGAAATATTTTAAAACCACACTTAATTTTTTCCAAATTCTAAAGACACATTCTTTTGTGATTTTGTGTCTTAAATCACTGGGGTCTTTAACTGGCGGTTAACTTCTACAGACAGTAATTCGAGGATAATGTACACTGCCTATAAATAGAATAGCTACTGGCAAGTAAGACAAATCAATACGGGAAGTAAAATAGCTGTAATTTACCACACTTGTTTATTGACTAATACACTATTGAAACTAACTGCAACTTACATATCTGCTAAATTAACCATAATGATATTTTCTATTTCACCCAAGAGGGTTACTGTATACATTTTATATTGATGTGTAGACTCATAATTCATAACAACTGTATAACTGATCTTAAATAATTACATGTACATGTATACACTATCTAAAGACATTGAAAATATTAGTTCAATAAATATAAGAATTTAGATGGATATATATGTATAGATTTCCTTTACTTTTCCAGTAAAAGATGCCAAGTTAAGCATGACACTTTTAAGGAAGATTTGGAAGTCAGAGACTGCAAAATGTCTCACATTGGAAGTCACATTATATAGGTAAAGAAGAAAAAGCATTATATTTTGGAAGTCAAAAGCCAAAATCAGAAGCAAATGACTCCCAAACTTCCATTAATGGAAGCCCTGGTCACAAAGGCTAACCACTTCTGGTTTTAGCTGGTTAAGGTGTAACATAGGCATAAAGGTACAAATGTTCGTATTCAAAGATTTCTGTTTAGAAATTTTACTCACTTGAAAAGATCATATTCACCATCTATACTATTGGCTATAAGGGCAGCGACGACCAGACCGTAAATAGCCAAGATACCAGCCATGACAACGGGAATGATGGATTTCATGATAAGCTCAGGTCGCATGACCGACATCGCCGCAATACCAGTACCAGACTTTGCGGTTCCATAAGCTGCTCCCAGGGCTGAAAAAAGAAGGTAATGAAAATTATATATTTATTATGTTTGAAAAATATAAAAAGTTGAACAGAAATGACAACACATTGACAAAAATGAAATGGCTTTCCTCTAAATTTCTTCATTTTCCTAAAACCTGTCATTTGTTATTCAATATCCTAAATTGCTTCATACTATTACCCTATCGAACATATAGGAAAATCAAGTGCATTATTACACCAAAAATGCACAGCATAAAATGAATGCTTACATGTCAAATGATGTCATTTATGATGACAATAAACCAAATGATGCCAGGAAAAATACTTATACATGTACATGTATGCTCAATGTAGTTTAATATATTTTTATCCATTCTCTTTCATATTAGCACATTAGAATTGTGATAAATATAAATTTTTCTTGCATTTGATTATACATGTAGTTTAATAATGCCCGGTTTATTGTCCAAATGTTTGGTTTATTATCATTCACCCCTACTGGTCTTTGTGATATTGCTGTGCATTTGAACTTGAACCTTGCATTCATTTTACAAAGTGCACTCAAAATAGATAATTTTTTTACACGTATTTATCTCCTTATTATCAGGCATCATGCAATAATATAATGTTTTTATTTCACAACTATTCCTTCCTTATGTTTTCTTTGTTATCAGTAATCAGTGGACAAAGGGACATTTAAATATTAGGCAGTTTTATTTTCTAAGAAAAAGTCACTTGGGTGCATTATTTTCCATACGGGTTTTATAGTACTGCTACACATGTTTGCACAACGTCAAAATAAAAGCGACATATAAAGTTATGGAAGCCAGAACTATATTTTCCAAGGTGGGGTTAAAGTACAATTATCTTTCAATATTGTCAATAAAAAGAATGGTTCTTTTTAACTAGATTGCACACACTGGATATATATGAGCCTTGTCACGACAAAACCAACATAATGCGTTTGCGACCAGCATGGATCCAGACCAGCCTGCGCATCCGCGCAGTCTGATCAGGATCCATGCTGTTCGCTTACAAACCCTATAACAAGTAGAGAAACTGATAGCGAACAGCATTGATCCTGAATAGACTGCGTGGACATGCCAGTCTGCACATGTGTGCAGTTCAACCATACAGGCTCTACACTGCTGATCTCTTGTATTTTGATACTGAAATCCCTCCAACATTAAATGGACTGTTCAAAATTCACAGCAGGGTGATTCCATTTACACCATTAAGGACTAAGTTAATATATCAATGGCATAAACATGTATGTTATGTACAAGTAACACAAAACATTGCTAAAGAAGTATTGTATCATGATTGTATATAAATCTTTATATCAGACTAAAAAAAGGCCGAGCCACTGTGTAATCAATAATTCCTAACAATGAAAATCATGGGAAATACTCTAGCTAAACACAGGCTGTATGATCTGCGAGTAACTATAACTGGAGAAGCCATATTGATTTTACTATTGGATATTGGATGTTACAACCCACACATACTCCACAGAAATCTGACAACCTTGCAGAAATTAGGCTTTTTTTCCATACCATTAACAAACGATTAGACATTCATACAGAAGTTTACTGACAAATAATTATACTGAATTTTGAAAAAAATAAAATTCTTTCACTGTATTAAGGTATCAGGATTTAAAATAAATAAGAATGACCCGACATTGTGAACACCATACAAAATCTTATTCTTACTACATACATTTTCTGCAATATGCCTATTTCAGAACATTGAAAAGCTTAGTCTAATAATTGTCCAAAGACAAATGTTTTTTTTACCAATAAATGTAACTCAGCAAAATATGCTGTAATAGGAAATAGCAAAAAATAAATCAAAGTACATTCAGAGGTCAATATTCCTTGTGATGAAAGACTTGCGGCACACTGGATAATATAGTATTGATTTTCATTTTAATATTTATATCCCCTGTATAGCACAGCACGAGACATAGATTTTTTTCTGCTAGAAATTCATGGAACATTTACAGACATAGATTATAGATGTAAAGATGTCTAACTAAAGTACCATGCTTACTAAACTTTTACTTTTATACTGAAATACAAGTGACCTTCACTAATACTGAAACCCAATTTTATTCTATGTACTGTAATTCATTATTTTTTCTGCACCTAGAAACTAAGTTAAAACATTCAATTATTATGTTTCATCAGTTTGTGTCATTCAATGATATTCCTCAAATTCATTATTGGTTTAATCATAAAGGGGCAGATTTTATAAAATCAATCAATAAAGAGTAAAAAGTAGGCAGCAATTTTTATGTGTCAATCATGCCTGATTTTATTTAAATTTGTCTAGAGCAAATTTTCATAAATTTATGAGATTTTTCTCCTTAACAATTTCTTAGTAGTTTCACAATATAACTTACGAACTTAACTCTTGGCCTTTTGCACTTAAATAACAGACTTTCCATGATTATAATTTGGAACAAATCATTACCAGTTAGTAACTGACAGAACTTCTGTACCAAAATTTATCCTAAAATTTAGTGTTCACAGAATGCACAAATGATTATAAATAACATTCAAGAAAGAGTAATACTATAGTTTTTTGTCAAAATTATAAATGAAGTCACAATTAACAAAGAGATTTCAGAAATAAAATCACAACTAAATAAATGTACATATTTTTGGTAAACTTTAAACTTCCAGGTTTTCTTAAACTTTTAGATTTATTTACAAAAAAAAAGAGACAAAATTACAAGAATGTTAAGGCCTACAAATTATTTTTGCTGTAGTTTGTACACTTATCCCCCCCCCACAAAAAAAAAAATATATCATAAAAATTTCAGTAAAACACACACTTTATTCAAACCATTCACATATCTATTTATCAGATAACTTAAACTTTTACCATTACAATCACAACAATAATTTGCTGTAGTTGTTTTCCTTCACTTATCAAGTCAGTACTTAAATTATAACCACCGCATTTGTTTGTTCTAGATAACCAAACATTTCCCATTAAGGGGAGATAAACTACTTGTAAGTATTGGTGAGAAGACAAAATGAATTTTGTTTTCCTCAGCAAACTATTTTTTAATTGGAATATTAATTCAAGGAAGAAGAAGCGTGACAGCCGAAAAGTTGATTCACATCAATAAACAAACATTAAAACTTTACTTGTTATTGTACTATTGTATAATTATTGTCAGAGATTTTTTCCAGGATTTTGGGAACACGGCCCATACCCATGGAATTGGGAATTTCAGCAGTGTTTTGTTAAAAATTGGGAAAAAATACATGACTGAAATTTTGCATGGATGCAAACGATTACTGTCTATGATGGCATCTTCAAAGATTTAAGAACTATGACAGTGAAGAAGCCCTTATTTGCAAAGATTTTAGAATTTTTATTCAATATTTTTATTTTGTAACTTTCAATTGTGGATTGGGAAAATAATATACTATTTTCAATTGGGAATATGACCCAATAACGGCTATAAAATAAGCCCAAAAAATCCCTGATTGTATACATTACAATCAAGAAATAATTCAATTAGTATTCAGTTAAGTATTAAGGATGGTGTCACACTACAAAATATGACACTGTCTCACCAAAATATAGATTAATTTATAAAACAAAATCACTAAATTTCTTTACTTCATGGACAGACCTTGCTAGTATAGTAGTAAAAGAAATATTGAGGGAAAGTTAGACTTTATAAAGAAAATTCTGAAATTATGTCAAAATACTGTATACCCATATTTCATTTATTAAAAGATCAAGAGTGAAACATTTTCTCTTTAGAAGATTAACAGGGTTCTCACTAGGACTTTAAAACATGGAGTCCATGGACTCCCAACCCTGAAAAAGTTGGAGTCCAAAAGCGCGTCGCAATAAATATGTTTATAGATTAGTCATTCAATGCTCACAATAGCATTGCTGATATTTTGAATCTTCAAGAGACTTTCAAAGTTTATAGTTATTCAAAAAAAACTTTTAATTATTGTTTTGTTGTTAATATTTATTATGAAATTATTTCATTATAATGCATCAACACAATTCATGGAAATCGTTTTTTTTTCACATTTATACCAAATCAAATTTTATTCTGGTTAAATAAGTCCACTCTAAAGACAAAAAGTTTATATTTGTAAAAAAAATGTAAATGTATATAGGCAGCGTTTAGCGGAATGAATAGGAAAATCGTGTACAGCTTCACACAGTGTGTAAGAGATTCATCCGATCGGCAATTATTTTAGCAAATATCTTCAAAAGGGGGCAAATTAAAGATCGATATTTAAAGATTTAATGTTGATTAAATAATAAAAGAACAATTTATGCACGTGTTTGGATTGGAAACTGAGAATTTTTGCGAAATTTTAGGGTTTCTGGCGAACGTGAAATCGCCGATGTTCGGATCAATTTTCGGATCAAAGAAAAGCATATGTGTATTTTTGTTTGTTGTCTTGGCATTTCGGCACAATATCTTAAATTCTTAATACTCTTGTAGAACGTTTTTGCAAGAATGAAACTAAAAGCAAAATTGTGCCTAGAAAAATGCCGAAAATATTCGACAATCATTCAAAATTACACTCATTTGTAATTTGAGAAAACAGTCTTTAAACTTGCGGCGTAAATAGTCGATAATTTTATCCTTTTGTCGGTAAAATTTGCTAATTTCCAATCAACTGTTGATCAAAGATATAAAATTATCACATTGTGTTATATCTGGTAATTACATGTACAGCGCGTGTATACATTAGTCTGATCACTATTGCGTGATAATGACCGGAAGCGTTATCGCTGATTGGCTAATCGCTTCACGGGTCGATGTGCATAGGACCGCCTACCTATAGACTGACACGCGCTGACGTATTTGTGTATTTGTGGTTGTAAACAATCGGTAATTTTATGCGTCCCCAGGCAAAATTAAGCGTACGTGGAATCCTTGCTCTGAAATATTTGCGTCCAGCTGTAATAAACATGCGTACCGGGACGCCGAAATAAGCGTCCCCGAGAACCCTGGATTAAGTTTTGATTTTCTTGAAACAAAATAATCTAATATCATACTGTTTTGCTAAAAAATATTGTAATTTTTCATGAATTTCAAGATATTTTCATACGAGAATAGAGAAAAACTGCCAGCTTAAATTACTTATAAATGACTGGCTTTGTAAAATTATGAGACATGTAACCCATTGAAATAAATACTTTTTTAACTTTTACTAATGAGTCTTATCTACACGCAACAAAATTAAACAGTAAAATCAGTGAAGCTTAATGTCTCGACAAAACCTTAATATTCATATATCGTCACTGTTTAACATCTATATCTATACAGAAAAAGAATACAAAGGATTAGGTCACGGTAAATTATTCATTACATGATATCTTCACCCTATCACCAGAAGCCAAATTAAGGCCCCAATGAATCCATATCCAAAATAGTCATTCCCACCCCCCTCCCAATTTGCAAAAAGGAATCCTAATAGCATCCAAAAAATATCAAAATGTTTCAAATTCTCGTAAAAGTTTGAACTATTTTGACATGTTTCTTAAAAGAAGTGACAGGTTATACATGTATGATTATACACATATGTTTAAAAAACTCTTACTAGTCATGTATTATAAGGTAGTTTTTTTATTATTATTCACTTATTCAATGTTTCTAAAATTTCCTACAATGTCAATTAATTTTTCCCAAATTATGCCAGAGGCCTTTTCCCAAAATAGCTGGAAAAGGTCCTGCATTAGAACTTTACCAAACATTATACTGTTGGGCAAATACAGAGGAAAACTCAGGCTTTTCATTTTTATCTGAGACAACAGATGCTCCAAAGAAAACAACCGATTTTGCTGAGGGTCAAGGGTGATACTTTAATGTAGAGCCTAGAGGATGAAAATACATCTGATTTTAACAGCATTTTAACCGATGAAAACCCTGAAAACTGTTACATTTATGCCACATTTACAAGTGTTTATTATAAAATATTGAAGTTTTTAACACAGAAAAAGGTTTATATATGCAAACAGTCAGCTGTAACACTACCCTTTTCTTGTCCCATGGGAATGAAATACTTGTACCAGAATGGACTTGAAACTTTGAAACCAAAAAGCAAACACCTTGTATTCGAAACATTATATAAATCACAAATTACTGTTATTGTTCTTTAAGTCTTTGGTTCATTCATCAAAAGCTTTAAACACAAAAGTATAACAAAGCAATATTACAAATTTAAGATGATGATGATGATACATTGATAGAAATTCAGGACAGGTCTAAGTCATGTGATTATGAAATGATTTCTCCTATTCCTCCCATCCATAACAGCAATGATCGAAAAGCCTACAAGTAAATTTACAATTCTGTGACATTTTTAAACCAAATTATGTACATAAAGCATGAAAACAATTGGTATGATAATGAATGTCAATGAAAATAATCGATTTCCGGTTGTACACCAAGACCTTTCTCAACTCACCACTAAATGCCCATTTGCGGCTGTTGCTCCCATAGCCCGAAAAATGGGGGTATGGTGGTCTATCGAGATCTGTTCCTGACATTCTTTAAAGGGTTTTTGTGATAAAAAACAAGGGTAACACTGAATAAAATAAATAAATATGCCGGTAAAACTCCCCCAAGAAATACTATTCCTTCCCAGATCATGCAAAGACGACAAGTGGTGACGTATACAATCATGTGACCACGGTAGGAAGTAGTTGACCTAAAACAACCGAAAAATCCTGTTTTGTGGGGTGTTGGGGGTTTGGGGGGGAGTGTTAATGAAACTGTGATTTTGTTACAAACTAATTCCCTATTGGCTCGCTTTTTATTATTCAGCCACTCAGCGAAAGGTTGGGATAAACGTCCATGGCCATATAATTTCCGGACTGATATAATTACACTTTCAATAGCCTTATTTTGTTAGCATAAATTAATTACAATTAACACTAAATTTATAATATTTTAGGGCATAGATATTGCTGATGTCAAGCAGAGGACATATAGATAACAAGAGATAGGCAACCCTTCTTACCATTTAAAAATATCACGCGTTGCTTGCTAAAACTAAAAGTTGGTAGCAAAGTAAAAACTTATTAACCATATTATCAAAATCAGTTTAAAATAATACATTTTCTTTTGTTCCTCTGAAAGGCTTATGCATTTGTTCTATGGCTGCAGGTTAAAAATAATTTTACAGTTCCCATTTAGATAAATGTACATCAATTTATAATAAAGAATAACTACTTATTATTTTTTTTTGTAACAAAACTATTCATCATATGACAAAAACCTGGCTCAGTGGGTATGGCTTGCTATGTTTTTCTAAGTGAAAGGCATGGAAAGTTAAACAATATTTTAACAAAGCGAGCAATAATAAAGATTTTATCTTTTTCAAATGGGAATTATTAAATTAAAGGTCAAATTACATCCATGAAGTTTTTATTTGCTACAAAATGCTAATTTCCACTTTTTGATAAGCCATGTAAGTGATATATGTTTCTAATGGGGGTATAAAAGGAGCTTCTTTTTCTTTATCTTTTGTCTCGTTTCATGTCATCTGTTCATTTAATAATTTCTTAAATTCTTAGATTTTTAATCTATGAAAAAAGGCAAAGCCCTTGTCAAAGCGAGCCTCGATTTTCTTTTTTTAGCGCGTGAAATAGTGTTTAAAATATTATTCGTTCTTTTTTATTCCTTACATCTTCCGTAAAAATTTCATTCGGGTTTTATTTTTCACTGTTTTTTTTTTTTTTTTGGTTTAATTAAACCCAATTATTGGGGTTTGAAAAATTCGGATTTGTCAATTCGGTTTTTTTTTAGGAAAGAAAAAATTTTCAAAACTTTTACTATTTTGCCTTTCTCGCGTTAAAGTTAAAAATTTCCCTTTTCGGACCAAACTTTCGAGCTCCTTAAAAAAAAAGTGCTTTTAATTAACTTTTTAAAAAAGAAATTTTTTTTTTTAAAAATTTATAAAGTACTGGAAAATAATTAAAGGCAATTTTCCCCATCTGCTTATGTGGGGTTAAAATTGTTACCCGCTAATTTTTTACGGGAATTCTTTTCTTTTTGTTTGTTTTAAAAAAACCTTTTTTAATTTTTTGTATTTTTTAAATAAAAATCTTTTAGATCGGAAAATTTTTTCAGCCAATATGGGAAATATTTTCCCCCGGTTTTTTTTTAAAAAAATTTCCCAAAAATTTTCAAAAAAGGATGAAACTAAAAAATAAAAATTTGGGAAAAATTTTAAAAATTTTTTTCATCCTGAACTCCCAAAATTTTTTAAAGGGTTTTTTAAAAATTGGGAAAAAAAGTAAACCCCAAACGAATTTCTTTTGGGGGGGAAGGGATGTTCACCCCTTTATTAAACCCCATGACAATCAAATTTTAAACCCGGGAGTTTTTTGTTTTTTTTGTAATTTTTTTTTTGAAAATTTAAAGCTTCCGAGGCCCTCACTTTTTCCCCACAGTTTAAGTTTTTTTTTTGGGAAATTTTGGTTTAAAAAATTGCCCCGGGTTTTTTCATTCCTTTTTTATATTTTTCTTTTGGTTTTTTTTTGGGAATTTGGGATACCAACCCCCCCCAAAAAACCCCCACCCCAATTAAAAATTTTTGGGTGGTTTGTGGAGTTTCCGCTCAAAACGGGTGCTGGGGCGTTTTTTTGGGGATGTTGAAAGAATTTTTTATTATCCCTCATGTACGACTTTTAATCAAACCGAGGGCTTTCAATTTCTCTTTTTTTTTTTTTTGTGATTAATGCTTTTTTGAGGGTTTTTTTTAAATTTTTTTTTCTTTTTTTTTTAATTTTTTTATATTTTTTTAAATATTTTTTGCTCAAAATGAAGGGTTTTTTTCAATTTTTAGTTTTAAAAACATTGGTTTTTTAAAGAAAATTTAAAATTTTAGATTTAAATTTTTTAAAAAAATGGAAAAGGTTTTTTTGGGGTTTGAAATTTTTTTCTAAAAAACGTTTAAGCCAAATTTCAAAATATTTTAATGAATTTTTTTAAAATAATTTCTTTTTAAATTTTTAAAATTTGAGTTTTTTCCTAAATTTTTTTTATTTTTTTTTTGACTTTTTTAAAAGTTTTAAAAAAATAATTTTTTAAAAAAATTTTTTTACAAAAATTTTAACTAAGTGCTTTTTTAACATTTCCTTTAATTTACAAAATTTTTCATGCTTTTTTTTAACACTTTAATTTAATTTAAAAACAAAATTTTTTCAAATTCATTTTACGGTTTTATATTTTTAAAAAGCTATGAGAAAGTGGAAAATTGGGGCTTTTTTGAAGGTTCTTGAATTTTAGGACCCCCTTTTTAGACTTTTTTTAACCCAATTTTTCGGGAATTATTTATATTCCAAAGAAAAATTTTTAAAAAATTTTAAGTTTTAAAAAATTTAAAACAATTAGAGGCCAATTAAGGAGGATTGATTGTTAATAAAATGATTTTTTTAATTTTAAAAACATTTTTAAATATTTTCCGGGTTTTGGGGTTTTTTTTTTAGGGATTTTGTTTTTCTATATTTTTTTTCAATGGTTATTTTTGCGTTGGGCGGCGTAAAAATTCCCCCTACATTTTTTTTCAATAAGTTATTTTTTTTTTTTCCTTTTTTGTCGGGGAAGCACCCCAATTTTTTGTCGCTTTATACATGGGAAAGGTTTTGGTTACTTTTTTTGTTTTCTTTTATTGGTTTTTTTAACTTGGGGGGTTCCCGTTTTTCCCACTTTTGGGAAAACTTTTTTAAAAACACCCCTTTTTTGGATTTTTTTGTTTTTTTTTTAAAAAAAGTCTTTTTTAAAGTCTTGTCCCGTTTATACCCCAGGGCTTTTTAAACCCCAGTTTTTTTCAAAAACAAAATTTTATTTTTTTTGCCATTGTTTATTTCGTTAAAGGGACACACCTTTTAAAGTTACTTGGGGAATACGCCCGCTTTTTAAAGGAATTTCAAATTTCTGTTCACATTAAATGTTTTTTTTGATAACCCGCGTATGAAAACACTCGGGTGTTTTTCTAAATTTTAAATTTCACCTTTTTGTGTTTAAAATGTTTAATTCTTTCCTTTAAACCGGTGGGTAGGGGTTGGACGGTTTCTTGATTTTTTCCAGTACCTTTTTTGTTTTCTTTTATGGGGTTTTGAAAAACAATTTTTAAATTTTATATGTGCTCTAAATACGTTTATTTTTCTAACTTTTTTATATGATACATGTGTTTACAAACAACAGTTTTCCGTTTTATGGGGTTTTAAGTTTTTTGGGGAATCTCTTTTTATAAAGGGTGTACGGGACCCAAAATTTTCACGTTTTTCAGGGTTTTTCTCATCATGCTTTAAAAACCCCGGTTCCAAAGAAACAACTCAAACCCCAAACCGAGCCTGCAACATTTTCAATATTGTCGTGTTGGGCTTTCTTTTGGGATTCTGTTTTACTATATTATATTGTATGAAATGTGCAATCAAAACAATGTAAAAACCATTATCGCTCACTAACGCTCTGTTCATTCTGAAATCATAAAAACAGTACTTTTTTACAGAGGACTACTTTAAGAAGCTCTAAAAATAGAAAAAATTTCCCGCCAAGAAACCATAATCACTTCTCATGAGAAGGAAGAATAATACGGTTTTTTTGGAAAAGTAATTCAACAGCTAAGGACTCATTTTTAGCACATCTGAAATTTTCACTCCAAATATAATATATAGGAACGTTTTTTATAGTAAATTATTATATTCAGAACAAAAGTCTTTTTAGTGTACGATTTTAACTTTGTTCATCTGTTGCTTTTTTTAAAATCAATGCTCGTATCATTGTAAAGTCAATAATAAGTAAAAAGACGACCGCATTTATCATTTAGATTTTAATATTGTTTATAAAATTGGTATAAAATCTTTTACCCAAAAAAAAAAACATTATTTAAATAAGTTGAGACAAAGCAGTGCCATGGTCAAAACCTAATGCAAATTATAATACTACTAGTTTTGGCTACCAATTTGCACAGTTAAAAGCTTAGATTTTTTTTAATTTTTCATTTGCAAAGCCTGGAAACTCCGAGAAACGATTTTTTTTTTATTATTTTAACATTTTTGACCTAATAGTTAAAATCAGTGTTTTAATAGAAAATTAAGACTCTGTTTGAAATTGAAGAAGCAGGATTTCTTTTTCGCAAAAGTTGTAATTAAAATATAAAAATTATTTCGAATGATGGTTTTTCTATTATTAATTCTCCACTGGCCTACGCAGTATAATAAAGCATACTAATACAAAATGGAAACAAAAACAGTCAAGAGAAATTTATGAATTTCAATGTAAAATCGAGTGAATATATTTTAATGTTATATAGAAAATACAGAATGAAACAGAAATACATTTACGGATTGAGTAGACAGCTTTTAAAATGTTTCCTTAAAGATTCTTTCCGTACCATTAAATATGAAAACAACCTCTTATGCTATAAAGTATTATTTCTATTATCAGTATCAAAAAAACCCCACTCA